AAAAAAAAAAAAAAAAAAAAAAAAAAAAAAAAAAAAAAAAAAAAAAAAAAAAAAAAAACTAAGCAAAATACTCCAAGTTCTGTAAAGTAAAATTAATCGAGAAAATGCACAAATTCATTTGGAGGAAATGTAAAAAATCGCCATACTATAATTGACTTTAATGATGTTTGATTAAATTTGGTAAAATGCATTTCTAACATTATAGTAATTTGTACAATTTTAATAAGTACTAAATGTCCAAATATAAGCATAATGTAATATATTGGTATATTTGTCACCTATTAAAACTGCCTAAATTATGGGAAGCTGTAATATAAATACTGTGAAGAAATGTTTTTTTGCGGTCACCTCTAAAGAGATCAAGTAGTGGAGAAAATCGCATGGTTGCTGTAAATATTGATTACTATGAATATTGGCTCCAAGCAACAGCATCATGTTAAATGTTCAGTTAATCTGTATTTTGTTAGGATGAACTACTAAAAACGTGTTTTTCTTCAGGGATGTCGCTAGGGCATATACCAATAATGCTAAAACTGACCTCGTTCGATATACCTTTTTCTCAGCACCTAAATAAGATATTCCTTCAGTTTTTTTATAGCAGAAGATTTACACATACATGTTTACACTGGTAACTGTTAATACATATCTTTGACTTAAATGTTTAAAAAAATCATGAGTTAAGATCTTTTTAATACAAATTCAAAGTTCGAAGTTCATAATTTAGAAAACAATTGTGCTAAAGATGCATGTCAATAGTTAGCACAGTGTAAACAGTATGTGTAAATATTTGGTGAAAAACAAACTGAAGCAATATCTTGTTTAGGTGCTGAGATAAAAGTACATCGAAAAAGGTCAGTTTTAGCATTATTGGCATATGCCCTACCGACACACGTTAGTCTTATAACCGGAAGAACAGAATATAGTAATAAATCTTAAAGATGGAATTATTTTAGCTTTATTAAATGTGTTGGTATGTATCCTCCAGTTTTGTGCTAGATTTCGCAGTATTTTTTAATGCTAATATATGGATTGCTCACTGTTCCTTAAGAAAAACGGGTTTTCAGCTCGTTAAGTGGAAATCAGAATCAGAATTAAAATGAACCCTTCTAATTAAAGTACTTTTTATTTAGCTCTTTGAAAGTGATCAAATTACGTATAATACAAGTTGAATGACTCTGAGGTGACATTGTGTTTTCTTTGTTGTTGTTTTATGCCATTTGTCTGTACTGACGAGCCCATTTTAAAAGTAGACGGGGGCTTTTCTTTTTGATTTCCGGTGACTCCATCTATGGACGAGATTTCAACTTCTGCCACACACATCCGTCACACCCCGTTTTACAGGGAGGGTACATTCACTCACCATCCTCAGATCGTAATTTTGGCCTGAAACAGAGCATGATTAATCCCCGATACAGTACCCCATAGGTATTGATATGTTATGGGATCCTGGAGGACTTTGCAACCCCGGCAGACTTAGCGTGTACTCGTCCCCATTTTGTACACTGGGGAAATCTCGGCAGGTGGGAATCGAACTCACAATATCTTGGACATGGGTCCAGAGCCCTACCAACCAGGCTGTCCCGGCGTAATGTGTAATTTCCTTCATCTATTATAATTTTCTTTCTTTCTTTTTTATATCTTCCACCTGACACAGTTTATAACATTGTTTTATAACGATTACTTTTGATCTTCCACTTAAATTTATCAATCACTGCGCTATCTCAAACCGTCAACTTTACGCTTAAGCTGTATGAAATGAAAGGAAAAAGTGAACTGATTTAGGATGAAGGTCTCAATCTGATTAGTGCACTTTTACGACACATTTGATTTTATTTTGTTCGGTTAACTTTTTCTTTTCCCTTAACAAGAATAATACTGCACAATTAATGCTGTTTGGGATATTTGAAAGACATGATGTATCCAAACAGACTATGTACATTATCTACTCTTAGTGTGGATTACAATTAGAATAATTAAATTTTTTAGCTAATAAATATAAACTTAAGAACTCTCAATAATGCTATGTAATGCTAAATTATTCTTCAAATGGACTACACAATACCTCAAAGGACAACAAAAACGAATAAAGAATTACTGTTTTTGAAATTGTTTTCATAAATATGCAATAGCATTTTCGTAAATAAATAATTATGTAATAAATATTGTTAAACGCATGTTTTACTCATTGCTGTATCTTAAATTATAAAATGTACCCCATTACCTTTTCCAGATTATTTGGAACAACAGGTTTGTGTTCTGCGTGCAATAAGACGATACCAGCATTCGAAATGGTGATGCGAGCGAGAGGGAATGTCTATCATTTAGAATGCTTTGCCTGTCAACAATGCAACCACAGGTAATTTATTTCGATAATCGAATGTTTTTAATTTATAATTTAGTATAATATTATTTTTCACCAGTCATAGCGTATACTTTTAGAACATGTTTTCGAATATACAAATGGTCAGGAAAATAAATTGATTTTCTTTAAATGGTTAACAATGGTATTTTAATTTATGAACCGGTATAAATGTTGCCCTNATTACTGTTTTTGAAATTGTTTCATAAATATGTAATAACATTTTCGTAAATGAATATTTATGCAACAAACATTGTTAAACACCTGTTCCACTTATTGTTGCTTCTTAAATTATAAAATGCACACCATTACTTTTTTCCAGATTATTTGGAACAACAGGTTTGTGTTCTGCGTGCAATAAGACGATACCAGCATTCGAAATGGTGATGCGAGCGAGAGGGAATGTCTACCATTTAGAATGCTTTGCCTGCCAACAATGCAACCACAGGTAATTTATTTCATTAATCGAATGTTTTCAATTTGTAATTTAGTATGATATTATTTTCCATGAGTTATAGCGTATACTTTTAGAACATGTTTTCGAATATACGAATGGTCAGGAAAATAAATTGATTTTTTTAATAAGTTAGGAATGGTATTTTGATTTATGAACTGGTATAAATGTTACCGTGAATGACCGAAATGGAGAGAATGTCCACTTCTACCGGTGAATGTCAACAATCACACAGTCACTTTGGCGATTGTCTGAAATATTTGTTATATCCGATTTGACAGTAATATATTCGTTGATATAAATACATTTATTTGATATTTCAAAATCTGCTGAGGATAGATTAGGAGAAACATCAGTGTTCGGAGTGACGGTTAAATGCTTACCGGTAGTGGCACTTGATATTAAAAAAACATTGATGTAGGGCATACCGGGCAAATGTATACCGGGTAGTGGCACCAAACTAGACCTAGTATATACTTCGGACATTCACTTAAGCAACTACGTGATTGTCAACACTAACCGGTTGAAGTCAACAACCACCAATTTCGGTCACTCAGAGTAACATACGAGATATAAAGATTACTTGTATAGACAATTTTTATGAAAATGATGACAGACTTATATCTTTTCTAGAATTTGTGAATGTGACTATTATGAATGGCATTGAATTCCGAGCATTTTTTAAAATAAAAAAATACATCAGTGGAATGAACATTTCATTCATCACTGCAGTGGTGAATGATTCATCATACCATGCATTGAATCCTATAATAGATATAGATAATATTATAATATATATAGACGATACAAAATCATATTATAAGAGAGATACACTGTTAGCTAAGAAAATGTTAAGAGGATGACAGAAATATGGTAAGCAGAAGCATATACGTCTACCTTCTGTGTATATTTACCTAGAGTCGTGAAAGCTCAGGGGATAGAGCGTTCACCCTCCAATGAGATGAACCGAGTTCGAATCCCTGCAATGACTGGTCGATACGAATTCCGCATCCGGCTTGCACCGACCACAGTGCTGACGTAAAATATCCTCAGTGGTAAACGGATCATAGGTACGAGTGTTCTTGCGGCCATGCTAGCAGCGGGAAGTTTTCGTGGTTAATTCCATCCGAAAGTCCTCCACTAAGGCAAATATCTCCCAATATTTGATCTAGGAGTTTCCTTTTCTTCCGGATTGGGTTGAATATTAGAAGACTACGGAGTTGAACCCAAGAGTCGTTAGCCCAAAAATTGGGTCGGCTGTTCAACGACAATTATTAAATAAAATCCTATGTTTAAAAATTTGACATAATACATAAATGAGTTTTTCTCATACAAATGAATGGATAGGTAAAAATTATATTAACAAACCTGACCTTCTGGTGAATTTCTTGAGTACATCTTTTGCTTCCTAGTCAATTTTCTGGACAAAACAAGCAAATCTCTATTTTTTTCTTTCTGCTTTGAAACTTTTTAGTGCTTTAAACTTAATTTTAAATTACATTTAAAGTTGCGGCTATTTTTACATATAAAACGATTTTTTTACATATTAATAAATAGAGTAAGCGAGGAAAAGAATTTTTCAAGTGAATGCAGATGTTTGCAAAACTGACATAATATGATTTTTGTTCCTTTGGCAATGTCGCAAATAAAAAAAACTAAAAAAGACAATTGCATCTTCTTTTGTTTCATTCAGAATAGTGTCAGAGAAGCAACAGTTGTACTTTGGAGATTTGCGAATACGCCGCAGCATACTTGAAAACAATTATCACAATAAACGATATTACAATTATTAAGCAGTACAAATATTTTAAGCCACGCTGGCTCAGTGGTTAGGGAACTGAACTGTCATTGTGAGGAACTGGGATTTGGTCCCCGTTGGCGGCGTAAAGCCCACCCAGCGTCAGATCAATGGGTACCAGATTGTTTGAGAAAGTCAAGGCGGCCTGTTCGCAGTGCTGACCACATTGCTGCAACCATACCATTGGTCTCGAAATTGTAGAACTTTAAACTCTATGACCCTCATGGCCCACAACGGGCTATTGTGAAAATGCTTTACTTTGTTCACAATTATTTCATTGTTTTGGTGAAGAAACATTTAGATGCTCAAAAAAAATCATCTCAAAAATTTGATTTTTTGGCTGTAGTATTTTCCATTTATGAAACAAATTTCTGTCAGGTTCACAAACAGAAAAATCAAGTATTGGGATGAATTATTTCCATAAATTTGAAAAGACTGCTGCTGATAAATTTTTGAACAAAATAATAGTAAGAGAATTATTGTTTTCCTATTTTATTCTATTGTTTGCTTTAAAATATATTTGGTAATTCATAAGTCACCTAAAAAACCCGACAAGGCTTAACGTTATTATTTTTCTATCCATATTCGATTTCTTTGAACATTTTATTTTACACATTATTCTCAGGTATGATTTACCATTTTGTTCAATACGTATTAATTATTATATTCGTGGGAAGAACATTTTATTAATATTTATCTATTCCTGAAATAACTTACAACTAAATTTTAGTAGTGCAAATAATTTTATTCATATTCGTGAAGAAACCTGTACAAAAATATAATTTTTTAATCGCGTCTTCAACGTGGAATCTCTTCAGAATATTGTAACCATTTTATGATATACTAAACTGACACGCAATAATTTAGAGAATGTAATAACACTGATCATGTTTTTAATATGCCACGTAATATTCTTAAATCACCTATCCATATATAAGAGAAAAACGAGCTTAATTACTGCATTTTCTGCATGGCCCCACGTCCGATTTGAATACTTCAGTACTTAGACATGTGACCCTAATGAGCCAATCAAATACTTCATCGATTCCTCCCTCCTTATCTCCTCCACCCATCCCTTTTCGTTAAGGCTTTCTCTCACAACCATGTTTACCAATACACAAGTTAACATGAACCACCCCTCACCCCTTTCTAGTAAAGCGTTCCGGCTTATCTGGGCGATGCTTAAGTCTTAGTAATTAGTCTTAATCGCCTACCAACCTCCAAAGGAATTATCTCATCCCGTGCAGCCAAAGATCTTAATTTCACTTTTTTACTCTTCTTCTTCTTCTTCTCATGGTCCTCCCATACTTTTCCATGGGTAACATAGTATATACCAACTTTCCTCTCTCTCCTCTTTTGAAGACTAGGGATAATTAAAGATCATTAATGGAATATATGGCTTATATAGGAAACTAAGACTGTCTTGTTAGCTATAATGAGGGTTAATTAGTGTGGAGAAACTCCCCTCTCCCTGTTATGGATGGTGAAGCTCCTTATTGGGGGGGTTGGAGGGGTCGAATTATAATTATCCCTCTGTTAAAAGTCAGTTGTGTGGAACTTAATGTCTCGAAGGCCTTTTCTCAAAAGGGTTAATAGAGTAAAAAGCGTTCGAATTCGGATGAACGCGAATTTTTCTTTTTTCTCTAATTGGAGAAGAATCTTCATTTTAGAAGGAAAAAAAATAATTATGGAAGGTAAAGGGGGCAGTTAGCTTTATTATTGCCTTATGAAGACAATTAGAAAATGTTCTCAAATGAAATTTGTGAATCTGAATACTCGGGGAAAAAAATTTCAAAAATAAATTTCAGAAGAAAAATAATTTTGTATAATGATAGATATAAGCTTGGATTAAGTTTGTCGCATTGATATTTTGTGTAACTATCCTCGGTATGATCCTCTTGGGAAGATGAAAACAATAATTGCAAGTTGGAATTAATATTTCGTCATTTTGATCTGCTATTTTTTAGTAAATAAAAAATGAACATTGCAAATTGAAATCTTATTGCGAATATTTTTTTTTGTTTATTTTAATGCTCACTTGTTTTGTTTCAAGTTCCCTGCTAAAGAAATTTAATCTTTGATGAGAAACAAAGTCCCTATAGATTTTGTTGAGTAGCATACTTTATTTCTTGAAGCATTTTAATGAGAAAAGTAATGAGCTTTTCAAAAACAAATCGTTTCTTATCCTATTGCATGCTTTGAGAGTATTTTGCACTTCGTACAAGAAATGTTCTTTTGGGTTAGATGTCTTTCGAAAATTTCTGTGTAACAGCTTGTTCATAGGCTCAAAAACTTTAATTACAGGTAAAACAATGTGATACATAAAAGATAAAACAGTATATATAAAGTGTGCTAAAATAGGCAAACATCTTAATAAATTTTAATCTATTGATCGGATTTTCACAAAATAAAACTCAATCGTAATGGCACGAGAACTTAACCTTAAATATACTATATGCTTAGTTTGAACGATAATTTTAATTACGAAATAAAACATGAAAATGAACTTTCACTCAATTTTTCAATTCATTTCAATTTTTAAATGTATAATTTTCACACTTCAATTTCAAAATTCATAGAAAAATTCCACTTTTTCGACAGATTTGGGTTCTTGACTCTTAGTATATGGGAAATATATGCAATACAAAAAAAAATGGTTCCAAAACATATGGCAAAAAAAACTGTCAATACAAATTCACGGTTAGAAAAAAATTCGAATAAGCATTTTTTGTGTATTTTTGAATCATCAAAGAGAGGGTCAAACTAATTTAGCTATCAGAAATGAAAAGCAAATTAATTATTTTTTTCAACATGAAAAAACGCTCTTCTTTAGAGTTTACTTTACTACTTTTACGGAAGTTTGTTACAATTACGGGCAACGGGCTCTTTTTTTCCCTCCAAGAAGAGACGCGGCTCTATGAATTAATGATCATATGTATAAATTTTAGTGAAGTTTATTACAATTACTGGCACTGATCTTCTTTTCACAAAGATTTGACTGAATAAATTAAGGACCAACTCTACTACTTCTACAACTCTACCTGCTTTCCAAGTCTTATGGAAATTTCTTATAATGTGTCCAGTTAACTTATAATGCAATTAAAGGGAAATGCCGCAAAATACGTATATAAAATTACTATGCAATATTGAGATTAACTTTTGGTGCTTCCTAACTCTTATGTATGTATTAAGCAAAACTGTAAATGAGAGTTTAACAGACATCTTCATGTTTGAAATTATAATATCATGAAAACTCTATTTTTTATAGTTAACGTATTGATAAGTGAAATTTCTTGCTGAAACTCCTACACAATTTTTCTAAATTGACTAAAATTTTATAGTAACTGGATTGTGTTAGTTTAAACTTATTTTCTTAATGCGATACCCGCAAATTACATAGGGTGGGTATTTCAACATCGATTGGTTGTTGAAATGTGGCATTTTGCGTTAGTAACTGTTCTTTCCATTCTGTTTCGAGTAAGTCAAGCCCGTCAAGTATCAATTATCTTAAGTGCCACATTCAATATTCTTCGCAAAGATTTCAATTCTTTCACTATATATTTCTTACTTAACACAAAGACAGTCACGATGCCACGTAGAGCATAAACAAACTAATAATACATCGAAGTTACCAGGTACACAAAACAAAAATATATCATGGTTACAATAAAATACATAAACAAATAATAAATTTAAGTTGAGTAAAAGATGTAGACAATAAAAAATTGTATTTCAACAAATTATATAAGCGTTACGAAGCAGCATTTTATTAACTTCACATTAATTAACATTCTAACTTATGTGGAGAAACTAGCTCTGCTTTAAAACGCCATTTTGCTTTTAAACTACCAGCTGGCGCTGACGTCATAGGTCACATGAGTGGGTATTCGTGATCTTCCTCCTCTTGAAGTATGAGTACCCAATTGGAAATCAGCTGTGATTGAGGATAATCAATTAAGGAAGCCTTGAGATTTTAATGAACTTTTACTTAACACAATATCATTTCGACTCACGCAAACTGAAAAAGAAAAAGAAAAGTATATGTTGCCATCACACGACTAAAATTTAACTCTGATCGTAATGAGTTACCTGCAAATGTGGATATCTTGATTCAGATTGCACGTAAGCAAGTGTCCTTTCCATTCTATTTCGAATAATTTAAGCCCGACAATTATCTATTATCGTAAGTGCCACATTCCATATTCATTCACAAAGATTTCAATTCTACCACTATATATTTCTTACTTAACACAAATACCAACACGAGACCATGTAGAACATAAATTAAACTAATTATGCATCGAAGTTGCCAGGCACACAAAACAAAAATAGATCGCGTTTACAATAAAATACTTAAACAAAAATCTTAGATAAGTAAAATATGTAGACAAGAAAGAATAATATTTTAGCAAATTGGATATGCGATAAAGCATTGTATTTAGTTAACTTCACGTAACTTATCATTTTAACTTATGTGTGGAAACTTGGATCGACTTTAAAGAAGCCCCATATAAACGATCAACTGACAATGTGGTCATAGGTATCAGTGATCGCCTTCTTCGCGAGTTGCAAGTTCCCGATTCAATATGCTAAGCGGAATAACATATCACTGCAAAATTTGGTTTAATAATAAATTTGCTTCTATCATTGCAGGTTTTGCGTTGGCGACAGATTTTATCTCCATGAGAATAAAATCCTTTGTGAGTACGACTACGAAGAGAGGATGGTATTTGCCAGCCTCCCTTACAACATCAACAGTATTTCCCTGATTAAGCGACAGACTCAGCACCTTCACCTGCAACAGCAGCAACAGGTGGCGGCTGCGCAGCAACAAGCTCAGCAACAGGCACAGCACCAGCAGCAGCAACAAGATGACAGGTCCAGTGGATATGGCAGCACGGACTCTGTCTTTGAAGCGAAGTGACGCCAAGCTTTTGCGTCGCAGCAAACTGCGTCGCAACAGTTGCATTAAGTATATCTATCTGCAGGGTATTGTGATCTCGCGTCGTCAAAATAAAATAATAATAATATGGCGTGGACACTAGTCTCTTTAATTACCCGCTCGGTGGAGCTGGCATCGTGAAGTGTCACCAAATTCAGAATAGACTGATAGAGGTTGGATTTTCCATAATAAGATAATAATCATTTTTTCCTCTTCATTGCGTACGTATACTTAAATAGTTTACTTCAATTTTACTTATGCGTTCTCGTTTTTATAATTAATAATTAACTTTATAAGTAATGGGTCTTTTCGCGTTCTACTACATTGTTAAGAACTGACTCTATTTTCTTTTAACTTGCAAACCTTGGCGTAGTTTGGCGTTTTCTATGATATCTAAACCATGCATTGAACTCCAAATGACTGATTTATCAATTTTAAATTTTAGCAATGTTAGGACGAAAAATGGCTATATAACGAAACGTTGTTTCAAGAGACAGTTAGTTTAATTGAAGAAGTCAACACTAAATGTGTACGTAATAATTGGAACAGGTATTTATTCAGATACCACATGTCCAAAAAAAATTAGATAAAATTTCAATAATTATAAACGGAAAGAGATACGAATATATCGTTCACATCATTCTGCTTTGAAAACTATAAGATTTATTCTCAGAAAGTTTCAAATTCAGTTTGAAAATTCGTTAACAGATAAGGTTGTTGCCTTCAAAAATTTCAAAACAATGTTCTATGTGTAATAATGTAAACCGTCTAAACTCGAGCGTTTGCTCGGATGTCTGTTTATTTTGTCATCAAACAGCACCACATTATTTCTGCTAGTGGTGGATATTTTATAAACATTTTTAATTGCTTTCTCAGCACCATCTGTTAATGAACTTTATAACTAATTACAAATTTTAATAAGTAAAAAATCTCCTGAACAGAAATTGCGTATTTTCTGCCATCTTTCATTTTTCTTTCATTATTTTTTTTTCAAATCACCAGTTTGTTTGGTATTCCTGACGTGTATTTACCTTCTTCTTTGAAGAATATTTTTTTTGCTTAACATACTCTTTTTTTTTCAAAAATAAATTACTGTTGTTTTAGTCACTTGAAAAAAATAAATACATATTATTTTCATGTAAATTTTTTTCAAGAGCCTTGACTAAAATAATGACGTTTAGAAATTTACTTTTAAAACAAAAATAAGAGTTCATTTTTTAAATTTAAAAACTCTTTGTAAATCCTCTTCAGAAATTTGAATTATGGGACAGCCAACCTCTGAGAGAAGAACTAATTCCAGTTAATTTAAAATTAAATTGAATATGAAAATTATAAATAATAGAAGAAAGGAAGAACTGAACCATGTGTATGGATAAATGGCAAAAAATTCTACGTAATGCAAGTTTAATGTTTATGTCATCCAACTATTTTGTGTAAATAAAATTTAAAAAGTGAAATATATGATGTGACATAAACACTAAAGTTGCTTGAATTGTAACAGTATTTGATTCATTTAATTGCTTAAAAAAACAATCATTCGCTTGAACGAATGACAATTTTGAGTTTCACTGGCACAAATATTCCTTTCATATGTCTGTGCAATATCTTTAAATATTTAAAAACACTTATTCGGATAATTTTTTCTGATTGATTTGCACATTTGTGAATAATACTTGATGTATGACCTTTTAAGATGATTATTTCCTATACTTCATTTTGTATATGCCTAAAATACGTTATCTTACATCGTCATAGTCTCATATTTTTACCCTTTAACTACACTGTTAGAAAGTTCTGAGAAAAAATGGTTAAATATAAATTTATTTCATTTTTGTTTTACCATATTCGAACAAAACAGTAAAATAACCATAATACGGTTAAACAACCAGAATTTTATCACTCCAACCTAACCAACCTAAAAACAAATTAGTTCCTTGCGGATGGGTACATGTAGCAGTCGAGAGGGTTAATCTGTCAGTCTCAGTCCCAGCGTTGACTCCCCAATATTTCCTTCATTTCCTTTCCTTAAGAGTTTCCAATGTTAATAGATGGTAGATCATAGATGGTAGCACCATAAAGTTATTAAATTATCTCCAATGTCCAGTTAAATTTATTTTTTAGGATCTTGAAACCATGCTAGTTACAATAAAAAAACATTCTAGATGGTTAAAAAACCATATAGTTTATACTCATGGTTTCTTAACCCTCTAGTGGTAAACAGTTTCAAATCTATAAACGTAAAAAAAAGTTCTTTACCATAAACTTTATGGTCAATTGAATGGACGGACTGCTTCCGGTGTAATTTTACCATAATTTTCGAAAGAAAGTTCTAGCAGTGTATTGTTACATCGATGATAATTTTTTTTTTTGCATCTTGAATTTTAAAGCAAGTTAAAATTGAAACTGTAATTAATTTTAAAAATTTTAAATTTTTATGATTTAATAATAACATTAATATTAAGAGTTTTTGCTTTTTAAAAATTTTGAGTCTTATTCTATCACATTCCTGAGGAGATTGCTTGAGTTAAAATAGTAGAAATATACACTTTCAATATACGCCGGGACAATATTCTTGTCCTTTTTGCTCCAGAAAACCTTCTTTTTAATCATTATGATTTATTTTCTGATCATTATTTTCTCTATTTAAATAATTTTTTTTAATATGTTATTGTTAAGTGAGTTTTAAAAACAAAACTATGCTGTTATGTTATACTTAGTTTCGTCGCTAACAGTGTTTGTCGTAAAGAATTAATCTGTACAATTTTATTGCTAAATGTTATCTTTTGTTGAAACTATTAAATAAGTTTTTATTCAGTTTAAAATTTTAATATTATTTTAGTCAAATTAATCTCTAGTCAATAATATTTGTGTGCCATGTTTAATTTTTTAAGCCAACTTACATATATCTAAATACGATATTTTGATGTGTTTCCTTTTTTAACGTGTATGTATATATAAAGATCTGTTAAAAAAACTGAATGTGATATTAATGTTATGTAAATATGGATTTAAGCTTAGGAAGGCAATTTGCTCACAATTAAATAAGTAGTTTTTAACATGCATATTAAATTTTACATATAATATGCATTTTATTTTTGTTTAAATCAAGTGCATTGAATGCATCCAATAAAAATATTTAATAAATGTCTTAAAAATAAATGTATATTTTCAGTCTATAGATAACATCTTTATAGGGTTCACTAATTTCTTTTCAGATAATGTGGGCATAGCACTGTAAGAAATGATCCTTTGTCATTTGATTATGATTGACCCTTCGATTTTATTGAACCAATTGATTGAGTTTCAATATTCCAAATTACTTTTATCATACTAGTTAAGTAATAATTATTTATTGTCTTTTTTAATATAATTGAATGATAATGATTTAAATTTAAAAGACATTATTACTTCTTCCTTAACAATTGACATTGTTAAACTAGTTTGTTATTTCTTCCATGCTTTTTTGCATTCCTTTCAATACCATCATTTAATATTCATTTAGAAATTTGAGTGAAAACGCTATTGATATCACTGATTCAATTCGTTTTATAATCATTAAATATAAATGGTAATTCCTTTTATGAAATGCAATTTCACAATCCACTAAAAATAACTGAATTGCTTCATTTTAGTTCCTTTTATTATTCATTTAAATTGAATCACTTTAGTAATCTGTTTGATATAATCCTCTTGTATAAGTCGTTTGATTTGATTGGTTTTTTTTAAAGATTTTTAACTTTATTTGCAGTAATTATTAATTTCAATTTTGCAGTAACTCTAAATAGATAACTCAATAATATTAAGAAAAAATATCTTATTTTAGCAAAAAAATTCAACAAATTCCGAAGCAATAGAAATTTCTCCAGAATTTTTGATATACATAGTTACAGTATGAATTAAAATATGAAAACACTGCAAAAATTAATTCTTGACAATATATATTCTGTAAGGCACTTAAACCTAGGTCATACTTAAGCACACTTTTAATGAAATTGACCATTGACTCACGAAAAGTTTTGGTTTAATATAAAGAAAATTTTAACTTGTTTAAAAATAAACTAAATTTACGATAAAGAAGTGAAAAATATTTTTTAAATATAGTGCTAATTGATGTCAAAAGTTTTAAAAAATTTTATTATAAGTTTTGCATTATTTTTCACAAACATCAATGAAATTTTATATCCACTCTGTAGAATATATACAAACTAGCCCTTTACAAATTTTATTTCTATACAATAAAGAATATTTGATAAAGTATGCCGAAGCAATGAAAATTTTCGTTTTCAAAGAAACAGCATATGGAGAAAATTCTTCTCATTATTTGCATTGAAACTTCCGATATTTTATTAATATTATATTATTAATTAAATTCAAAAGTTCAACTTACACAAAAACTGATTTAAAAATTCTTCAATTGATTCATAAAATTGCTGTTTTTTTCGTTTTACAATTTAGATTTAATTTTTTTTTTTTTTACAAATTTTCGCCTTTTTTATTTTGTATATTAGTTTTTTTAGTTTAAGTTATACTATTTTTTTGAATATATAGTTAACTTATTTTCAATTCGTATTTTTAGTATATATCTTCAAAAAATAATTATACTTTTATTTGAAAATTTACTGTCAAATTTTTGTGAAGATTTAATTGAAAATTTTGCCCATTTCTTAAAACGAATCACTAGATACAAGACACTGAGTAAGATTACAAGACAGTGTAAGCAAATTGGCTTCCTAAACAAAACAACGTTGAACAATTTATAATTTTATTGTTTATCTGAAGAATGACTTCTTTACTGATGCACACGGAACGTTACATTTGAAACGTTTTTACAGTATTACAGCATCTCATTTCATTTTGTGTATTGCAATGGTTTCGAAACATAATTTATAGACTGTTATTTAATGAATGATTTTCGCACACTTCATTATGAAGTTGTTGTTTCACTTCAAAACTTTTGAAAATTTCTATTTGGAATATTGTGTCCAACACTTTGTTGTAAAAGATGATGGTAAGTATTAGTGTTTCAAAAAAATAATAAATTTTGTTTTAAAAATTCTTTGCATTTTTATTTTAAATTCAAAATAGTTATCATTCATATATTCCTATTTTCATAAACTGCAAAAAACATTAAAACATCTTTATTTGAAAGTAATGTTTCTCTTGAGTTCCAGTTTTAATACTACTTTGCAGTTCTCAATAAAAATGGATTTTATATTTCAAACTATTTTCTTGCCCAACGTTACTAACAGAGGTGTTTTCTCTAATTTTATTATTATACAGAAGTAAAGATTGAAAAATAATTATTAGAAGCACTTTTATCTTGAGAAAATATTGATAGTATAAATTTTAAATTCCCCGGGATTTTTCGATCTAAATTTAAAAATAAAAAAAAAACTCTGATTACAATGGGGAGCAAATATTTTGTTGCATTTTTACAATTACTTGTTTCGGCCGAATTCAAGTGAGGGGATCTCAAATCTGTTAATAGTTTTGCCAATAAAGCAGCATATTTTAAAAAATGTTTGAAAAATTTATGTATTACAGGGCGTCATATTGCCACGAAAAGCACGTAAAAATATTTCATAGCAGGGAAGCACACCTAGTGTCGTATGACGACATTTCCAGGCATGGATTCCTACACACTTTTATTCCAAATCATGTTCCCCAACTGCCTTGAAGTTTTTCGCATTATTTATGCGTTCCCTGTTACCTATAACGTTCTTAATCTTGTGCATTTCGACAAAAACAAAATAAAGTATAAATGTCATTTTAAAAAACCTGTAGCTCTGAGAAAGAAACCGATTTGCAGTTTTGAAATTGTTTAATATCTATTAAATATATCAAGCAACAGCAAACAGCAAATTAGTTATTTCACAATGTTGTTTTTTAAGCGTAATAAGTCAAATTTTGTATTTTGGCGCAGTTATCTCATCTCATAAATTGGTTTTGTCCAGATAGAACCACATGTAAATCAACTAAGCGCAGCAGACAGCTTCAGCCATTGTTTTTATGGAAGATGGAAGGCGTTGCTCGTCCAACAGATGAGACATGATTTCTGTTCCAGTCCTTTTTAATATAATGAGACAGTCTGCGTCATAACTGCTAAGTTACTGATCTAGTTCAGTCTTCGCTAATGGAATAATAGAGGCAAGCTTATTACGAGATGAAAAAAAGCCTTATATGACCTTAACATTAAAAAAATATATAATTTTAAGTCAGTTTCTTGTAAGAAATTTTTGTAGATGTAAATTTTGCAGTACTTTATAATTTAAGAATGTTGCAAATGCTTAAATCTAAAATCTGATCGAAGTTTGATTATTTCTAAAGATGCTTACACTGAGTATTTTCTGTAAAAGGAAACAAAAAAAATCAAAAAATTTAGAAAAATTACATCCAACTAAAACAAATTATGACATTTCTAGCTATTTTAAATAAATTGAGAGAATTATTAACTATACATTGAACACTTTATACAATATGATCTTCAACAAAGATTATAAATTTAAGTCATTAAACTTGAAACAATATATATACTATTTCTTAAGAGAGATTTTAATTTAAAGACTGTATGTTTTTTACTTATTTTAAAACTTTGAGTTAACACTAGTGCAACATAAGCTTAAATATAAATACTTTGCCGAATAAGCTTCAAAATTTACATTTGGAGCACTGTTAACTATAATTTAAATGCTTTCAGCTATAAACTTGGTACTATATATTTGATGCCATGTAAGCATTAAATTTTATACTTTGCAATACATTTTACTTCGGGCGGCATCAGTTTATAGTTAGCATTCTCCACCCAACATATTAGTTACTTTACATTTAGTGCAATATAAACCTTGATTTAAATACTCTAAACTATAAATTCTGTATGCATAAAAAACAAAGCAATATCTCATTAACTCATCACTAATTCTCTCACTTCACAATAATTTAGAAAGCTAAAATTGGCAAAATATGCTCTTTTTGATGCAATTAGAAAAACTAAAAAAGTTTCATTGCAAAATTTTTTAATTATCAGAGCGATTAATTGGCAACTGAGCCAATTGTAAGTTATGCAAAATAAAATGCTTCTTCAGAGATAGGAATCTCAAATTTCGACTCAATGTTTCTTTTCAGATGAATTGAAAAAAAAAAGCGTTTCATTTTAATATTTTGCAATTATCAGAGCAGTTAGGGGTAATCATCCTAATTGCAGTAAAGCAAAATACCACTTTCCATTTAAATTAGAAGTCTCAAACTTGAATCATCTACTTATCAAATTTCAATACCATTTTTAAAAAAATTTATATTTAGTAATTATTGTGATAATTTGTCCAATTGACAATAATGCTAGGCTACCCTACCAGGGAAGAAAGTTTTAATTTGTAAAGTTAAATTTTGCAACCGAAAAAAATCTGTTGTGGCTTTCTTCCCTTTTATATAGTGGACGTTACAAGCTGAAAGCTAGGACGCTACCCACACGGCTTGAAAGCTCATTGTACAGGAAGATAAGAATTTATAAATGTATTAAAAATTAGAATGCATTAAGGCTAAAAATTTCATATTTATTTTTGTGATGGTATTAAATATCATTGCACGAAAAAAATAGGTTAGAAAAGTTGGTTGGGTACTCAGCATGAATAACCTAATCCTTCTAAATGCTTCTATGTTTAGTGCAAACCGCGATGGCTAAGGGGATAGAGCAGTCGCCTTCCAATGTGGTTGACCGGGTTCGAAACCCAGCGATGGCTGGTAGATATGAATTCCTCATCCGTCTTGCACCGACCACAGTACTGACGTAAAGTATCCTCAGTGGTAGATTGATCATGGGTTAGAGTCCGCTTGCCGTCAAGCTAACCGGGAAAGGTTTTCCTCTTCATGCAACACAAATGCGTGTCAGTTTCATCAAAAACTCTCCACGAAGGCAAATTTCTCCCAATACTTGATCCAGGAATTCCCTTGTTTTCTGGATTATGTTCGAAATTGTAAGGCTGCGGAGTTGAACATTAATAGTCGTAAGCCCACAAATTGGGTAAGCTGTTCAATGATGGTTATAAATTAAATATATAAATTAAGTGTTTGACGCAGCATAGCCGATTGCGACTGCTAGTGACCATGAAGAGGTCAGTTCGTGCAGGTAGAACACTTGTGGAACAGCAAAATGGGGAGTTCGTGTAGGCACTGAACTCCCTGTTATACCGAAAAAACTAATGTCGAGGACTCAGACTATACAAATGCCGAGGTTTTATCTTAGTACCTGCTGCCGAAAGCAACAAGTACCAACGTAAAACCAAGACGCGTTGAATTCATTCAGGTGAAGGACAATGTGTTTGTGGAGCCACGAAGCAGCGAGCTTACGTAGGTGAACCTGTTTGTCACCGCCACGTTATTTTAAAATAATGTTTTGCTTCACAAAGTTAACACACTATAATTAAAATAATATGAATGTTACTCCTTAAAATTTATGTATATCCTTCAATCTGACTTGAAGTAATTCATGAACATGGGTTAATATTAAATAAAAGCTAATTTCCGGTTCAGTTTTTCAACAAAAAAAATCTATAAAATATTATTAGAATACTGCAATAAACATGATTTCAGCAAACTAGCTTCCAAAACTGGAAATGAAATAATTGTCACACCAATAACAACCTGACTATGAACGAAATTTAAGCATATGAATAAATAGATACATAAATTAATAAACCAGCATTAATTTTTACAATAAATACAAATTATTAAGAGATTATAGATGAAGAAACTAATTAAATTGTGTAGTTAAAATAATATTTAATTATAATTGCATTTTTAATTGCAAATAAATTCTGTTTTTATTTTTCATTCATTCATTTTATAGTTAAATAAATTTTTAAAAAAATATTGATGAAAATATTACGCTCAGAATAAAATTAATTATTTCTCTAATTAAATTTCGATTAAAAAGGCGTATTACAAAAAAAATTTGAAATAAAAAATCTTAAAAATTTCCCCGAAATACTTTTCCGAGTAATAAGTTTTTTTTTTGATAAATAAACTATAAATACTCGATAGGAAACAAAAAACTAATTAAGTTGACAAATATTTACTTTAACACATAATAAAGCAGAAATATATTCATCCATTTACTTACGAGCTTAAAGAACTAAACTATAAGTCTCTTCCTTTGTAGTTCGTAAAGTGAAAAAAAAGTAACTTTTTATAAAGACAAATATAACAAAAAAAAACGGAAACAGTTTTTACACTACTCATTTGACAAATATCTTACAAGTGATGATTTTTACAGTCACTTCGCATTGTCAATGGCTGAAAGTAATTAAGAAAAGCTACCCTTAAATAAATAATGTCGAAAAAAAATTCAATCACTAGACAGGGGGCATAAAACTAGATATTTTCAACGAAAACCCGTGTTTACTTTTAATTAGGAAATCCTACTGAATGTTGTCCCCTTTC